TGGGGGTGCTGATGATACATAAAGAGAGACAGAGACCAAGAGAGATGCAGGACAGACGGTAATGACAGTAGCTTACAACAACATTAATTTATGTAATAATATTACAATAATAATTATGGCTATTGTGTTACAATATGTTAAAGGTATATATTAATATATGATAGTATATGTATGTGACAATAATCATATGTGTATAATGACAGTAGAAGTATGAAGTATGACTAATGATAACAGCAGCAGCAGGAGGCATCTGGCAGGACCACGGCAGCAGCACAACCACATGTCACACTATCCAAGCACCGCTGCGATATAAGTTAACCTCAGAGACAGTGGAGCACAAAGGCTCTGGAGAAGAAGCCGAGTTAGCGAGACGCAGTAACAGGACATGAGTGTTAGCAAAGGAGAGGGAGAAGGAGAGAAGGTGCTCGGTGTATTATAGGAGGTCCCCCAGCAGACTAGGCCTAAGTCAGCCTAACTAGGGGCTGGTCCAAGGCATGCCTGAGCCAGCCCTAACTATAAGCTTTATCAAAAAGGAAAGTCTTAAGTCTAGTCTTAAATGTGGAGACGGTGTCTGCTTCCCAGACCAAAACAGGAAGATGATTCCACAGAGGATGAGCCTGATAGCTGAAGAATAGAATGCCTTTATTGTCATTACACATAGTGCAATGAACTTAAAGTGCCACATCTGATTGGGGCAAATTGACACACCCATATCCACACACACACTTACTGAGCAGCATATAAAATCATAAAAACATATAAAATCACAGATCTACTAAAAACTACTCAATGAATATTTAGAGTTGTAAAAAAAATCCATTGCCCAAGGGCACTGTGGTAAAATATTGCACCTATTAGCTTATGTGAGGTTGTTCAGCTTAGCAGCATTCACAGTTCTAATGGCCCAGGGGAAGAAGTTGTTTTTGAGTCTGTTTGTCCGGCTTTTAAGGCTTACATAGCGCCTACCAGAGGGCAGCAGTGCAAAGAGTTTATTTCCGGGATGGGAACTGTCCTTGGTGATCCTCTTGGCTCTACTGAGGCACTGAGAGCTGGAGATGTCCTCCAGAGAGGGCAGCCTAAACAAGTGCAGTCTCTGTTGGGCCTACTTGACCACTCCTGTGGTGTTCGCAGCCCAGGTAAGGTCCTGGGATATGGTGATCCCCGGGAACTTAAAAGTGGAGACCTTCTCCTCTTCATCTCCATATATGACAAGGGGTGCTGGATCTGCTCTGTGCCTCCACAAGTCCAACACCATCTCTTTTGTTTTTCCAGTGTTGAGCATCTGGTTGTTCTTTCTGCACCACTCTGAGAGTCTGTGGACCTCATCCCTGTACGCTGACTCACCACCCTCCGTTATGAGCCCCACGACAGTGGTGTCATCTGCAAATTTGATGATGGTGTTAGAGGAGTGGACGGGAGTCCAATCATGCGTCTAAATGGTGAAGAGGAGTGGGCCCAGCACACAGCCCTGAGGAGTGCCAGTGCTGAGTGTGATGGTGGAGGAGCACTGGGGGCCGATATTGACAGTTTGTGGTCATTTAGTGAGGAAGTCCCTTATCCAGGCACAGATAGATGAGGGGGAATCCAGGCAGTGCAGCTTGTCCGCCAGGAGGTCCAGAATGATCGTGTTAAATGCTGAATTAAAAAAAAATAATAACCTATTTAAAATAATATATTAAGGTTAACATTATTTATTGTTAAAAAAGACAATAAAAGATTGTAGATTATGTGCCAGTGGCCCAAGGCAAAGTTTGTGTTTCTTTAGCAGTATGGTGTATCTAAATGGGAAACTGAGCAGGGATTAGTTCTGCTTGTTCTTTTTGTCTTATGTACTTTTCATGGCCAGATTAACCTGTTTGAGGGCCTGAGGGCAAAATGTCGTCATTGGGACCCTGCTGCTTCCAGTACCCTTTTACCTACAAAGTTAGTGCGTGTATGCAGGTTTTTTTAAACACAGGAAAAACAGGCAATAGACGCCTTTCAGTTGCAGTAGATCAGTGTCGTGTACAGAGCTCTGCAGAACCCTTGTTTTTTCTGGTGTCTCACATTCAATGTCATGAACAGGCCAGAAAGCAGATGAGTAAACAGTAGAAGGCAGCATGTAGGCCCGTGAAAATGTTATAGTGGTTGCTTCTTTTTTATATCTCACTTATTCAGCCTCTCTTTCAGACTCATTGCAGACTAATGGGCCTTTTTCACTTTCACTTTTGGCCGTGCCGAGTCATTCCATGCTGCACCAATTTGCATTTCCATTATCAGTTTAGATGCGTTGTGCCATACTGAGCTGCACCAGAGATGGACCCTCTAAAGAGTAGGTCCAAAAGCTGGGCTGCTCGCCCTCAAGTGGGTAGCCGTGGTGTCTCGCTGACCGCAGCCAACCGCCAACGACCTGCTACTCCCCCTCAAACAAGCCGTGTATGTTGCAAGCCTCTACTCACCTCTGCCGTATTTCCATCACTGATGATTGGCACTGGAGTCGATACATACCGGTGACAACTGCAGAGTCATTTGACCCGGAAGTGAATGCCAATCGTACCAAAGCCAGATGTTTGTAGGTGTTAGTGGGTTTTGTTTTCGTCCAGTGGGAAAGACGCTCAAGTTCCCATCAAACATGGTATATACAGCATACTAATGATGGCGGTTCGATCCAAATTTAACACACATCTTAACCAAACTTTAAGGACATTTTAAAAAGAAAATGGGACATTTCACCACCGGTCAAACAATTAAAAGATATAAAAAATTTGATGGAAATGTGTCGTTTTTTTCATGCATTGATTTGAGAAAGGTTACAGCCTCGTCATCAGTCCACAAAAGTCTGATATTTTTAGATTTAAAGCTGATTATCTTTTGATGGTGCAAATTCTCACTCATTATGAATTTACCAAAAAGCAACAGACACACAGTGAAGCAGGGGCTCTTGGGGCCCTTGGAGGTCTGGGGCCCCAGGACAGTTGCCCACTTTAGTAATCCAGCCTTGTCAATAAATGATGTGTATATGTCTGATTATGATATAATATCAACCAGACATTTAAAGCGTAATATTTATTTGTTTGATAATGACATTTATTTACTTTCTATGTTCATGTTTTTCACAGGCTGTTTAATGTGATTGAGTTTATTTTATGACATCTAAATTCCTGTGTTTTATTTTGCCCACGTAAACTAGTTGTGATATTTGCTGACGTGATTTTAATGTTAGTTTATTATATTTTCCTATAAAGAGCAACTGATGCATCAATAAAGTTGCCAGTTCATTCAGAAAATCTCCCTTGAGATTATTAGCTGATGTCTTGTTTGACTTTTGCATGTTTACCTGTTATTTTTGTTTGTCTAACCTAAATATTTGTTTAACTGGTCATAGTTTCTTGTATGCTCACTGTGTAAGGTCTGTTTTTCCCCCTCTGGTCTCTTGGCAGTGAAACTATATCATTGTCTTTGGATTTTGTTATATTTGCACCATAGTTAAAGTAACATGCTGCACCGTCTTGTACTCCATCTGCACCACGTGTAGGTCTACGTCTTGTTTGCACTTTGTATTTTATTAAATTTTGCATTATTGATATTCGATTGATCTTTATGTCAGGCACAGTGCTGCAGGGGGCAACAAAGCATTTCATTACACAATGTAGAGATACAGCATGTTGAGCATGTGACTAATAGAAACTTTAAACATAGACTATAATTAGTTACAGTACACCCAGACTACCTGATCAAATTTAATATCACATAATCACTTTGCAGCAACCATTGCACAGCCAGACTGAAAGTTTGTCTCAAAACGCTGTGTGTGTAAAATTCAAATCCACAAATTTAAACCCGAAATCCACAAATAGAAACTGGATTCACTCATACTGTAAATCTTCAATTAGTAGCCCAGGCTATTATTTGCTTAGAACACTGAAATCAACAGGCCTATATTTGGGACGGGCTTTTAATCACTTTCACACAAAACTGTTCCTCAGCAAAGATCAGGAAATATAATCAAATTGTTTATTTAAACCAGTATGAATATTACTTGTTTAAAAAAAAAATTAGGCTTCAGATAATATATCAATTATGAATCATTCATTTGATCTAGCTCCGACAGACAGCGAATCAGAGAGAGTTAAAGCACTGGAGGATTACAGCACATGTCACACCGACACAACCCCTGTTAAAATAATACACACAACTTGGATCAATTTCTATGAAAAACCCTTTGATTCTTTTGATATGAGGACCCTTATAGACTAAAGGAATATGAATAACTTACAGGGTAATAGAGGAATGGACACATAATTTCAGGTAGTCAACAATCAGGTTTCATACATCTCAGTGTAACCACAGAGTATTTAAAACACGTTACTTCCTACCCCCACCCTAAAAAGATGATTTTTAGAGGAAAATAAATTAATAAAAAATAGAAGCAAAAGTAACAGGTTGAATAAATATTACTGTATTAAATACAGTTTAAGTACACGTTATATTAATGTACAAATTTTGACAACAATTAACAAGAAAAAAAACTTGAAGAGATTTGGACTTACCACACTTAGCATATCCCTGGGTACCTCCAACATGTGGGTTAAGTCTGTCCTCTACACATGAAGGGACCCAGATGTAGTGAAAGAGTGATTAATTACCTCTGATGGCATATGTTATTTTTTTTACTGGGGCAAAGTTGTTGATAGTTCAGAAATCCATTTACCCATGGCCTCAAATATATTTTGTGAGTTTACAAATCTTATTTTTATATTTGTTGAAGGTGTGTCATATTTACAGATCACACATTAACACCCGGATTCATACAAATAATATTAACACAAATCAATCTCCAGATCAGCCTGTGATTTTACTTTTAAAGTAATTAAATAGACTATAGTTAAATATTTAGTGGTGGCTGGTGGGATTCTCCGCACCGCCGCCCACCTGTTCTCCCCCCAGCATCCAGCAGGTGACGCCATTTTGTCACAGTTGCCGCCGCCTGAGCTCCACAGTGAGAGTGTGTATGAGCAAGAAGGGGGGTCAGTTGCTGTCCGGAGTTTAGCGAGGTAGCAGCTAGGCTGTGCTGTGCCAGCAGCGGCTACAAAGATGCACTCAGCTCGGGCTGTGTTCAACACAGAGGTCCATGGCAGCTAGTAGCCTACATGTTTAATTCAGAGGGTGAACGGTTGTCGCGGTACGACACGGACACGGACGCTAGCAGAAATGGCCGGCATTATAAAAAAGCAAATTTTGAAACATTTGTCAAGGTACGTGTTATCTCTGGCTTTGTGTTAGCCAGTTAGCCCGGCTGGGTGATGAGTGTTACCGTTACTGCCTACACACAACGCAGCAGACGGCTGTGCGCTACTATCTGCTATCTACACGTTAAGCTAGCTACATTGATTCACCGTGTGGTTGAGAGGTAGCTTTAACGTTACATGAAGGGACAGACATGAGAATAACGTTAGGAGACAGACACTGACAGGGACAGTGAACGCGGCAAACCAGTTCAGCTTGAATGAGACTAACATCGTAAACCAAATTACTTCACCTACTGTATGCACTTTGTGTTCTTAATACTGTTATATGCCACAGACTGCCTTTAATACCTGCTGTAGAAAGCTGATATATTTGAGTCAATGGGCCTTTACTGTACCATACTGCTTACTATGTCAATCAGTGGTCGAGGGCCCTGAATATATCATCAATTACTGTACATGAAAAAGCTCTATCTGCTGTAGCATCTTTTACTCTGTTGAAACTAGGATCTGCACATATGTTCATTGCTGCAGCTCTTTGCACAGCAGGTCCATGTAATTTCATGGTCACTTATATATTGTATATATTACTGGGTTATATGTTGTGAGCTTGATTTTTAATTAATGTGTCTTGCCAGGACTTCTCACAGCAGTTTTATCTTTGCTTTTATGTAGCCTGTATGTTGTATTATGTATGGTTTTTATGGGCTGTGCTATGGTGAATGCACATTTTTGTATTTTTTTTCTTTTTAAACTAGCATCTGCATGTAGGACTATGGTACACTGCTGCAGCTCTTTGCAAAGCACGTCCATTTCATTTCATGGTCACTTATATATTGTGTATATTACTGATCTGTTTGCTATGAATTGTATGTTTTATGAGTGCATATTGCCAAGACTTCTTATAGCATTTTGGATTTTTTCACTTTAAAGTAGCCCATATGTTAGCTTATGTTTTTTTAATGGGATGTGCTATGGTGGATGCACATTTTTATGTATGTGTTTACGGCATGTGTGATGGTGAAACCAAAGAAAAATTCCCACATCCTGGAATGGGCTATAATGAACTTAGACTTGGCTCATTTATAAAGCACTTTGGGTATGAAATGTGCTGTAAATAGATTTGCCTTGCCTTGCTATCATGAACAATATAGCTTTCATATTTGTATTAGTAAACCACATCTATCTATCTAGTTTTTCAGTTATTCTTCCTTGACTTTGTCCTTAGTACAGCTAAAACAAGGCCATCTTCTCCAGGAGAAAATTTAATTTATTTTCTAGGTAAGGAGAGTTGTGGAGAAAGTATTTTAGATGTTGCATATGTATTCTTTCTTTTGCCCCAGATCAGAATACTCAGCAACACTCCTATAGATTTAGTCTGATTACTGCCTATCTTCAGCAACATTTCTTCAACTTGCCCCTTTGCTATACTTAAACAGATATCAAATTCCAGGCACCTTTAGCATCCTCTCCAGAGCTGGTTGCCTCCACAGCCTTTTTTCCATACCTGGTCTTACTCTGCATGTGCTGCTGCTGCAGAAGACACAGAGCCTGCTATTTTGCCTCCTTTTTGGTAATGCTCCCATAGTTTTAGTCTGATTACTGCCTATCTTCAGCAACATTTCTTCAACCTGCCCCCCTGCTATAAAAAAATATCAAATTCCAGTCACCTTCAGCATCCTCTCCACAGCTGGTTGCGGCCTTTCTCCATACCTGGGGTCTCATTTATAAACATTGCATATGCACAAAACAAGGCCTGAAAGAGGCGTACGCCACTCTCCACACCAGAATCGTGATCTATTATAACAGACTTGATAGGAGAAATTTTGACCTAGCTTACGAACATTTTGGAGATGGGAAATTGGCGACACAGATGGTGAGGTGGAAGCCTTATTGTTGAAATTGTTGGGGGGCACACCATTTTTGGCTTTTGTCCGCATGTATATTTTTAGTATGGATCCTGCGCATTGTTTTATAATTGAGAACCCTGGTCTTACTTCCTCTGTGTGTGCGACAGGAGACATAGAGCTTGCTATTTTGTCTTTTTGTTTTTAAGATTTTATCGTGTCATAAGGTGTTGAATTTTCCTTCTCTGTGTGTTTGGCACTGCTGACAGTTGTTAAGAAATTGGGTCAGAGAGTAATGTCTTTAAAAAGATTTCTTTTACCACAGCTGTATGGGTTAAAGTTTACCACAAGACTGGACAGTAGGTGTGTGCTCAATCAGAGGCTCTGTATTTGACTGACTCGTATTCTCCTCTCTTCTGTTGTCTCTGTCACTGAATAATTAAAACAATTATTTGCAGCAGATAGGACACAGTGGACACGTACTTGGTTAGTAGACATGCAAGCAGCATGACAACACTGCTGCTGACCTTAGTTTGCTTTTAGGCAGGAAATGGGTTTTATTGTCCAAGCATCTCTTTGGTTATCTCTGAAGTATGTGACTCAGTGTGGCAGTTTTTTTTATAATGGTTATTTTAAGCTCGGCAAGATGACGACAAGATCATACCTTCAGTCCTTATGTATAAGGTCATAGTCATTATGTTTTGCTGTAAACTTACCATTTTTGCAGCTATTTATCCTGCTGTTAGTGAGCCATTATTTATACTATTGACATTCTTGTAGTTTCTATAATTCTGTTGCACAGCATTATTTATATTTTCATACATTCACAACAACTGCTACACTGCGCACAGTGTTTACTGCAAAAAACACATTGGGATTGGTATATTCTGCTCTTTTTGTTTGCAGTTGTACTTTTCTTTTTCCCCCTGTGTCCATGATGTTCTCGTCTGTGTTGCATTTTGTGTATTCAGTGTAAGCACCTTGGGCATTTTGGTTTGTATACTCTGTATTTGGAAAAGACAAATAGATAAACTTTACCTTAAACTAAGTGTTAAACACACATACAGTGGACTTCTTAAGCTGCTGATGGATTGTTGGATTTAAGCTGACCAGTTCAGTGGTGACTCTTCTCATGTTAATCATCTTAGAGCGGTCTTGGTATTGTTTAATTGTAAAACCAAACAGTTGTGCTTTTTGGAAAAGTTTGCACAATGACTTCTTTCTTGCCCCTGATAAGCTCTGGGATTTCTGCACTCTTTGAACTGATGCTAATCAGAGTAATTAGCCTATATTGGTAGTTTTATAAATAATGGCACCACTATTCAGAAGTCTTTGCTCTAATGTGGGTTAATTAATTATGAATACCAGCGAGTCAACTTCTTTATATTCTGCAAGGGAATTAAAATTCAAGACTCTGCACAATCGTGCCATAGCTGTTTGGTATTTTCGGACATGTGAACTACCTCAACACATCAAACATGACTCATTAGAGGCCATTGAGGACTGTGGGAGTTCATATGAAATGTTCATTTAAAAAGAAACAATGGCCCAGGTTTTGTTCACAATAGAAGAAGTGTTGAGCCGTTATGTTGTTGCTCAATGTCAAAGGGAAGCTTGAACTGGCTTATCAGGCTTATCAGGTACAGCTTGGTGTTAGGCCTGGCCAAACAATGTCAAATGTTATGACAAATTGGACCGTGTTCACATGTTGTCTCATTAGTTTAATTAATATCGTCAACCGACTGTGAGCCATGCTCTTTAGCTGCCTGGCTTGACATTTAGTCTGTATCTTTCTCATCAGTGTCTCTCGGCTGATGCCTGAAATGTCACGGGGATTTGTCAGAACAGTGTTCAGTCATGTGCTGGATGTGAAATTAAAATACTTAACAAACTGATTTGCTTTGATTGCTGCTATATATTCACCCCGTGTGGGTTTGCAGCCTATTCCTGGCTGTCGGAGCTCACTACATCAGCACCCTCACAGAGGTTAACCTAGATGGGGTTCACAGCTATGTGGCTCCAGTAAGGAGGCTGCTACACTTTCTCAGGATGACTCACTCAGTCGCACTACTTCGAAAACGTCTCGGCCTGGCTGCATAATTCAATTCTGTGTATTATTTCTGTGTCTGTGATCGTCAGTGACGTAGATTGATGATGTCAGGTGTTTCCCTTAGTTAAAGTTTTATGAATCTCCTCCAGATTTAGGCTGCAAGTATTCACTCTTTTCACCTGGTCTCCTATCCTTAGGTTCACCAAGAATCTGTCCCCGGACAAGATCAATCTGAGCACACTGAAGGGGGAGGGGCAGCTGTCCAACCTCGAGCTCGATGAGGAGGTTCTGCAGAACATGCTTGACCTGCCGACATGGCTGGCTGTCACCCGGGTCTACTGCAACAAAGCCGCCATCAGGGTATGTTTCTGACTAGTCAGACCTGATTGTGTAGCAGGTCTGACAGGTGAGGCTGTTTCCCTGTTAAGGCTGTTGCAGAGAAAACTGCATAATGCATGTCATCTTGGGGTAATTGACTTATACTTCATCTTCAGACTAAACAAAGGTTTTCTGTTTATTAATGCCAAAGAGCGTTTTGAAATTCAGAGCGTGTAGAGTCAAAGAGGAAATGAGTAGTGGCAGTGCCACAGAAATAAGCACCGCTGCTGAGAACGTTACGATCCCTCAGACCAGCACTGGTTATTGGTAACAGAGAGGCGAGCCATGATTCAGAGGGACATTAAAGGCCAGAGGCTACAGTGATCCTGAGATAAACTGGCTGGTGTGCATAGAACTGTCGTTATGGTTCGTATTTTCTCCCAAACAATCCCTACAGTGCTACATGTTTAAGACAGTTTGTTTAAAAATACAATCCTGTAATTATGGTCATATTGTTGTCATTAAAATGTACATTAATTTTATCCAAATGAACCTTGATTTCTTCTTGAGTTTCCTTCATAGATAACTTTAAAGGGAGGCAAACGTAAGATTAGAGATATTATATTTTGTAGGTAAATGTGAGAGCAACTCTAGTTGTAAACTATTAAATCAATTGCCAACTAATTTGATAATTGATTAATTGGTTAGATTAACTTCTTAATTTTTTTTTTTCGTGGCTTTTTAGCTTTATTGGCTAGGATAGTGTAGGTGTGAGAGGGGAAAAAGAGAGGGGTGACATGCAGCAAAGGGGCCACAGGCTGTAATCGAACCAGGGCCGCTGCGGCAAAGATATTGCCTTCATGTATGGGACACCTGCTTTACATACTAAGCCACCGGGTGCCTGGTTTGAGCAATTTCTAAAGAAAAAAAATGACAAAATTCTCTGATTTTTACCTTCCTAAAATTTAATATTTTCTGCTTTGTTTACTCCTCTGTGACAGTAAATTGAATATATTTGAAGTGTGGACAAAACAAAACACTTGAAGAAATTATCTTTGGCTATGGGTAACACTGAGTGACATATTTCACCATTTTCCGACATGTTATTATCATTCAATTATTTTTATTGTTTTTTTTTAAAACAACCAAGACATTGAAACAACCATTGAACATAAACTCACAACACCCAAACCCACCCCATCCCTCCCTGAGGCTGGCCTGCACAGACAGAATAATCAACAAATTGTGTTTTCATCTGTACTGTGTGATGCTTCACCAGTAATATCTCGAGCTTCCCCACGCTGTTCAGTATGAGTTATTTAGTAAGACATGTAGCGTTCTTTTTTAAACTTTATCATAAATGAGGTTCATGTTGTACTCAGTCAGTGAGTGCTGACTCTGAGTAAAAACTTCTCCTTTGCAGCTGTTTACTGGAATTCACTTGTTCTGTTGTTTGATTTCCTATTTTTAGAAACACTCCAGGGCTAACTGCCCTCAGAAAGCTCCAATATGAAGGCAGAAATATCCTGAACTTACATTAGTCTCTACTAATTCCCTTTTGTTTTTAGGCTGTCAGAGGTCGTCGATGTTTATCAGTTAATTTCTTTTATAAAATAAAATTATGTTTTGAGGAGTTTCAATCCCTTATTTGGGGGCTTTACTCAGTGCTGAAACTAAACCATTTAAAGTAGACTGTGATCTAATTGTTGATTAGTTTGTAGCCATGCATGCAGTCTGCCTCTAATTTTTTGGACGAATTGCCAGGGAATTTATCTAAACATTGATGGTCCCCAGAGGATGAATCCTACTGGCTTTGGTGATCCCCTGACTTTTCGTCTTGGCTTAACATAGGTTAACATTTGACTTTGTCTAATACTTTGATCTGTGACCAAATATTTTAAAGACATTCCCATCAGCCTCAGGTGTGCTCTGCGTTACTGTTAATATGCTTAACTAAGTTGGTAAGCATGATAAACGTACCAGCTAAACATCAGCATGTCAGCATTGTCATTGCGAGCAGGTTAGCATTTAGCTCAAAGCGCCTCTCTGCATAAGTACAGCTTAACAGAGCAGCTGGCATGGCTGTGGACTCTCACTCTCTGTTAATCTTGACCTACATTTGAAACTCAGAAATCTCAGGAAGTGCTTTAAAATGCCCTTGATCTTTTTTTTAAAGATAAAAGTTTTAGTGTCTAAAATCTAGGATGACTTTTTGAGCTCCCACGGGTCAGTGCTAGTGTTCTATGTTACCGTTATCTAAAGACATCTACAGGCACAACACCAGTTGTCACTGCGATGCAGATAATACAAACAATACATTTGCATGATACACATGTATTACTGGCTATGCAATATATTATTTACTATGAAAAAAATACACAGCTTTAAGACATCCTCACCTTGAAAGCTCTAAACTGTTTGAAGCAAAATGCAGATAAAATTGGAAACCTGTCATAGCCTTGCAAATATAAATGCAGTAATAACTAGTTGCTGAGGTGTTTTCTATAGCAGTATTCTCTTCTTAGATAAGTGTGTTAACACAATGATGCAGCCATGTTCAAAGCATTCCTATCCTCCAAAAACTCAGAAACGGTCCATGCACTCCAGCCATCCACATATGAAAACTCATGTCTGTTGGCTGGCTTGTTATCTTACGTATTGTTTATACATTATTGATATTGACTTTTAGTATTTTTTGTAATCACTGTAAACACTTCTAAATGTCAGCAGTTAGGGATATGAAAGATTAGTTGACTAGCTGATTAAATGTTGCTACCCTTGCCAGTTGGTGAAACGTATTACTGGAATTACTACTACTTTATAGTCGTAATGCAGGTTAATTGGTGAATCTAAATTGTCCATAGGTGTGAATGTGAATGTGAGTGTGAATGGTTGTCTGTCTCTATGTGTCAGCCCTGTGATAGTCTGGTGACCTGTCCAGGGTGTACCCCGCCTCTCGCCCAATGTCAGCTGCGATAGGCTCCAGCAACCCCACCCCTAACAGGATAAGCGGTTATGGAAAATGGATAAGTGAAATGAATGAATGATTACGTTCACCTGACGAGAATGCTGTTGTAATAACAAGGCACCTTGTCCAAGAGATTTATTTTCCTAAAGAATATTGTTTTTAATAAATGTTATTTGTCCACTTTTATTAGTGACTCGTCACGTATGCACATTTTTGTCACAGTGCAAAGTGCCACACACTTCAGTGGCATCTAAAATATGATTTGGTTATTGAAAAGTGTGATTTACGATTTCAAATGGCTCTGATGATATATGTAACATTTTTTTTGGACAATTTTTAACCTTGTAGAGTAAATTGTGGTCGATTTTCTAAATGTTATCTTGTGTTTAGTTTAGTGTCACAGAAATTAGTCATTAGGAAAATCCCTATCAACAATAAGTGTCATTTTTATGTGCTCTATTATCTGTCCTCCTCTTATTTAAGCTCATCTTGTACATGGTAATAATAACTTGGCTGACAGCTGGTTTATATTTGATTTGTTGAGCAGAAACAGCAGTGTGACTCCAAACACTGGCAGTTGCAGGATCGTGATGGTCACTGTGCCCTTGTGCCCAGTGAATGATAAACAGTGCAGAATGCTGTGGCAAGTGTTTGTGGCTGACTCTGTGGACCTTGCTGTCCTGTCTTTTTTAGATACAATGGACAAAGTTGAAAACAAGCCCCATCTGTCTGGTAAGAATGATGCTATTTCTGTCCTCCATAGTTCTTGTAAATTTCTGTAACGCTAGGCTTCTCCTCCTCCTCATATTTTAATCCCAAAATAACTTAACTTTGGCATGGCTCTAGCAGTGCCCTACATAGTATTTTACTGTTTTATCACACTGCTCCATCGGTTGTGCTTTCTGTGATGTTATCATATGTAAATGTTGGGTTATTTTCTTTGTATTCTTGCTCAATTGTATGCTGAATACAGTTACCTCTTTTGTGCAGTTCTTGGATAAGGTGGAGGTAGAAATGCGGACATGTGAGGAGCCACGTCCACCTAATGGCCCCTCTCCTATAGCGATCACAGCAGGCCAGAGGTAAGCCTGAAGGAGTCTTGTTCTAAGCCAACATATCTGATGTATACTCTTCTACCTTCCATGTCATACATATGGTGAACACTGCCTTTGCTCACATTTGTATTGTGTATTCACAGCGAGTACGGCTTTGCAGAGAAAGTGGTGGAGGGCATGTCTGTCAGGATCAACTCCATCACCATCAAGGTGCATTCTCGTGCCTTCCATGCCTCCTTCGAGCTGTGGCAGCTACAAGGCAACAGCCTCAACCCCAAATGGCAGCGCAGTGACCTCCGCTACACCCGCGTCACCGACCCAAAGAGAGGAGAGGTACGCTTTTGTCCTCGTCCTCACCCAGCTTTAACACTGCTCTGTCTGGAAGCTGTATACAAGCCCAACTGAATGTAATGTCTGACCACAGGAACAGTGTGTGCTCATTAGGGCCGCAGTAAATCATTTAATCAAGCCAATTGTTTTGGTTTTTATTAGCCGCAGGGACGATATTGAGATAAACAATGTCTCAGAATGAGGTCTTGTAATCCACTTAAAAGGAAATGTATCTGTTGCCTTTTCCTTTGCTGTGTGTCTCGATATAAAAACATTGGCCTTGCCACACTGACACCGTCCAATAAGGATTCCATGTTAGAGTGGTGTTTTTTGTCCCAATGTTTTTGTGTTTGATTAAATCTGGATGATTTGTGTTTGTTGTTTCAATCAGGTGTTGACATTCAAAGAAATAAACTGGCAGAGTCTACGAATAGAGGCGGATGCCATAGAGAGTGATGACCAGGACCTCGGTAGCACCCCGTTACGTCTCATCACCAACCAGGGTCGCATTCGCATTGCTCTAAAACGCAGAGTAAGACCATGTTTCTACCATTCATTTCCTCTTCTGTCGTGGAACTGGTTAAAAGTCACAAACTTGACCTCATCTAAATTGCAAACTACGTGTCACAAGTCAAGTTTGATTCTTCATTGTTCTGTCCAGATAAAGGACTGTAATGTGCTGGCATCCAAGCTGCTTTTCATTCTGGATGACCTGCTGTGGGTGCTGACTGACTCTCAGCTCAAAGCCATCATCCATTACGCCAAATCTCTCAGCGAGGCCATGGAGAAGTCTGCCCAGCAGAGGAAGAGCAGGGCTGCTGAATCCCTACAGGTGCTGCCTCCCTACATCCTCATAAATGTTTTTGGAGAAAATCAGTGTGAAGAACTCAACTCAAATTTAATTATAAAGGACATTTAAAAACAACTCAAGTTGACCAAAGAGCTATACAAAAGGAATAAAATGCCCAAAACACATACATGAGAGGCAACATAGCTGTCAGATACACAGCTCACACATTCAGAGACACAACACGCACAAGCATGCTTCAGGGAAAACCACATTAAGAGGATTCAAACGCTTATGAATAAAAATAGGTTTTGAGCCCGGACCTAAACGAGTCAATGGTGGGGGCAGATCTGATTGGGAGGGGGACGCTGTTCTACAGTTTGGGGGCAGACACAGCAAAGGCACGATCACCCCTGAAGAAGTATAATATATGTTGAAGTGTTTTAATCACAGACGTCATATGTTTAAAGGAAGTTTTAAGGCATTGTTAACCTTAAAACTAATTTATCTGAGGTCATGTCCCACAAGAAGTCTTGTTTTTGCATCATTATTAATTGATCTGATATTTAAAAAAATTAAAGTACAACATGCCTTTTTGACAAAATACATTTTGTCCTTGTTCAGACTGCCAGCTCAAATCTGTTTTTTGGCATATTCAGCTTGTATCCAGATTGATTTTAGAAAGTCTACACAGCAAAAAATACTCATGACACATGATTTTTACAAATTAGATCCAAACCACATTTGGTGGTGGTTTGAAATGTGATATCAAACTGATTTCTACAAATGCATCTCATTCCAGATACTCTGAACACACAAATCGGGTTTCAAGCAGAGCGCTATGGAGGACAACATTGAGAACAACATTCCACAGACAGATGCAGGAATTAATTGAAATAAATGGCCGCCACATAACACCTTGATTTTTTTTTTCTTTAGAGTGTAAAATGATGGACCTGCATTTCTCATGCTACTGCGTCACCAGTGTAGTTACATAGTTTCTGACGCCTAGGTTGTTACCACAGCAACCCAAGGTTGGAGATATGTGGCCACGCAAATCTGATCTGATCACTTGCAAATAACAGTCCGTCTTAAAAATCTGATTTGGGAAACAAATCTAATTTGCCTGCAGTTTGAATGAAACATTTGACTTGTTCTAACATCATCTGAAAAAAAAAAAAAAAAAATTACTTTGACCAGTTCACCTCGGAGACTTTAGCTGTTTCTATCTTCATCACTGTGAGTCTAGGTTCATTCTGATTCATTTTTCCCGCCTTTAATGGATTAATTTTTGTCTTTGTTTAGCATCTTTTAAACTCTCCTTACCCATGTGCATAGTATACTTTCTTCAGCTCAAACTCAACTATCGGTTAGATTTATAATTTTAGAAATTTAACAAGGTATATAGCAGCCAGAAAGCTAAAATAAAAAGAAATGATAAGTGATAATAACTCAAAACTATTATTATAAAACACTTCAAGGTTGTAAAAATGCATTGTTGCTGTTTATACACAAAAATATAAGAACTAAAACTATTAATAGAGTCTATTTACATGTAAAGTTATTTTATTCCATCTTGGTTTTGTGCCTTTTTTATTGAAAATCTATATATCTATCTATATCTATATATGCCATTGTTAATTACTGAAAATATGAATTATTCAAATGTTTCAGAAACAATTTTATGGTCTATAGATATAAATGTGATGCTATGTGAAAGCCCCATAGTGGCACTTACACCTGGTTTTCTCAGCTTGTCTCCACACGATATATAAATAAAGTTATTTTAATATAAATAAAACACACAGAGTGTATTCACAGGTTAATAGACAGACTCCGTACATTCATTCAGTATCTTCTCATAACAACACAAACAGCCTTTAACTGAACGTTAATGTGGACAAGACTTCTTCTGAATATGATTTTTTATACATTATAAATAAAATTTGCTTTTGTTTCCCTGTGATATTAATGTTGCTTATTTTATTTATTTGTGTGTTTCAGACTGCTCCTCCATCACCTGGCCTCCACAGCCTCTGGACTGAGCCCCCTCCCGCTCCTACTGGTACCCCCAGCAACATGAGTCAATACTTTGATCTCTATGATGTCAAAGAGTCTTCGTACCACACCTTCATATCCCGCTTGGATTTACACGTATGCAACGACAGTTCTTCAATGGATGAAGGTGACGGTTAGAATTAATTCACCATGTGCCAGAAATGATCACATGTACCGTAGTCTTTATATCTTGGAACCCAAGTGTATTTCTGCTATTTTACAGCATAAAGCCACAACTGTTTGCTCAGAGTAATCCTTAAACTACAGTAATTTGCTGAGCATTTACAGGATAATTACTGTCAGGCTGGGTTGTAACAGATTTCATGTGATACCGCACAGATGACGCTCCACCACCGGGCTTACAAGGTGCCATGCAGCTGACATTCAGGAAGCTGGGTTTCGACTACTACCCTGTCCACAGACCTGGTGAGCGTGACGGCCGGTCCTTTCTGTGACTCTAATCTTACCTCAGTTCAGCCAGAGGCTCTGTCTGGCCCCCACTTCCAGCACAGCATTCATTCAGGACTAGCTGCTAGGAGGATTACAACTCAAGCAGACTAATGGCCTGGGAGTGTGTGCCCACTGCCATTATTCTCTGTGGAATTCCTGGAGTGTAGAATGCAGAGCAGCAGAGTCGCCTCCGGGGCCGATTACGGTCAATTAAACAAAGCTTGAAAATAACATTTTATTTTGCTATTCTGTTTGATTAAGAATCACGGCCTTTGAAGTGAATATTTACACAAGGAAGATGCATATATCAACACAATACTTTACATATGGCGTATAAATATAACTGCACATTCAGCTCGGACATACGGTTATATTAACATATATGTAAGGAATTTGACTCCAGACACACTCAGATGGCAGCAGAAATGCTCTCAGAAAAAATGTCTGGTGTGCTCAGTGGTGCATTAAGCATAATGTATGGACATACATGTGTGGACATGTGCACTTAGAGACAAACCCACACAGACCTCATACTTAAATAACACAGTCATTGTTAATTGTTTGTGGTCTTGTTGTGGTCTCCTCTCAGATTTACTTATTTTACTGTATATGATGTGTTGTATTATTGTAATGAATTACTCCGCACTCACTGTTTTTAACTCTAAAAGCCTAACCAGAGACAGGGGTTGCAAATTAGCCAGAGCTAGAAACCTGCATGCACTGCAACTACTTTGTATTTTACATATGAAGAATGTCTAATGCATTTGTCCTCATCTGATAAACAAGTAAATAAGTAAAACAATGAAGAGGACAAGTTTACAGTCAAAGCTTAACAAATTTAAGCAAACTTTAAAGGGACAGATCACCCTGAAATCAAAAGTCTTCCTCTCACCTGTAGTGCTGTTGATCAGTATTGATTGATTTAGTGTGAGTGTTGGAGATATCCGCCCTAGAGATGTCTGCCCTGTCTCAAATGTAGAGGCCCTAATACATCAACCTGACATCTGGCTGTTGGTCAATGTCGGGCCATTGATGAGAGTCTGTCGCCCTAGTTTTTGTGGTGTGTCACTCTGAGTTAGACATTAAACTCTTAAGCAGAAACAGTTTGTAATTGTTTGTGTTTATGTTCGTTGACACTCAGTAAATATCATTTGTTCTTTCAACATTGGTTCATGTTGTTGGCTACCTAGTGTCTTTAATCCATCCTGTTGCTCTTCCAGTTTCTTTATTTAAATGATGACTACAGACTACCACCGCCTGCGGCTTTTAGAGTTATATCCTCTCAAGCAGGCACAGAGCATAGTGCTAGTTATCTCTTGGCTGTAGTCTTTGTGGTGTGTTCAAGTGCAGCTTTTGGTTGTGAAACAGCCATAATGAGGCAACTGTTGACCTTGTTGCCACTAGGTCTTTGATGTCATTTTGGTATGTCAGAACAAGATGGCAGTGTGAGATGTAACATTGATGGCGTCCTCCTCGGCTGAGCTGTAACATCAGCTAGCTCAGTGGTGCTAGGTGAGCTAGCAGATGCACACTTCTTTCTGGACGGTGATACAGTTGGCAGGTGTAGTTCGGTAGAAAGAAAATAGTTCCGACATGAAACTGCTCACAACAAGGTCTGTGGATTATCGTGAGTAAGTGGGTCATGATTTATGGAAAGAGACATTGCTGTTGAGTTTTTCAAATGTATTTTTTGGCACTTTAAGCACCACAAGCTGAGTGCCATCTAGTTCTATTATATTGGGGAGAAGGCAGACATCTCTATGGCTGATATCTCCAACACTCTGCAACTCACACCAAAAAAATGTAGATAGATAGCACTGCAGGTAAGAGGAAAAATATGTATTTTTAATTTTGGGGGGAACTGTCTCTTTAACATACAGCTGTTACATACAGACTTGAGTTGAACAACAAATTGTGTATCAGTGTTTCTTCAGACGAAATTAGGTTTAAGCCTAGAATGATTGCTGAGTCATAACTGCCTTGTTGCTGCTCTTACACAGCTGATGGGTGTCGACACTGGGAACGCCACAGCGGAGCCATGGAGGCTCAGGCCCAGTGGGCTTGGAAGCTGCTGCAGGAGTACCAGAGGAGACCAGAGACTTCTGGGTTCCCTGGGCCACAGACTGAGGCGGCCCAGCCAACCAAGGACTCCTCTCCAAAGACAGCACGAGGTATGACCGCAGAAATGATCCAGAGGTTAGTCTTGACATAGGAAATATGTTTCTTTTATGGCAGCTGAACACAGATAAAATGACACAGTTCTTGTCAAAACAGCAGGAAACAGCCAAAAACTGTGTGATGAAATAAAACATGAATATTTGTCTGCCTTTATTGCACAACAAAATACCACACAGTAGCAACAAGGAAGCTGTGACACCAACACATGGCTCAGTTACCACAACATTTATGATAAGAGAGACACAAACCCTTATCTGTAAAAATATTTCTCAACCTGAGTGTCATGTCATCTAACCAGGAATCAGACTTGCTTTTCTGTGTGTAAGTCATTTCTGCTTGTCACACAGTGTTTTCTCTCCCATGCGTGTACTTTAGACGGACAGTCCAGTCCCAAGTCGAGCCCCGCTGACACAGAGCAGCTGCCCCGCAGGAACTCTGTCCCAGCTCCTTCAAGGTCGTCTCTGAAGAGGCTGCGATCCAGCTGTGTGGTGGTCAGGATGGATGACGTGGACATTCACCAGGCAAGCTTTAATGATCAACTGATTTGATTTACTTGCTCGAGCAGAAGCTTTACTCCAATAAATGGACTTGTGTTCCTCAGTGGGAGCCGTCAGGCGGTACCTATGGCGGGGCTGCAAGTCGCTTTGCATTTAGAGAATTTTAGCAGTGACAAAGCAGTCACTGATGGTTTGGATGTTTAGAAAACAGGAGTTTATGATCAGAAAATCTGAAGTGGAACCAATAAACCTCCTTCCACATGACTGTTTATATGCAGTGGATCATACAACACAGACAATATCAACAACCCCTTTATCATCTTGAAAATAAATGACACATAAGCATCCCCAGCAACTTTTCTTAAACGCACTTGGACACACATGATTACCTTTGACAAAAAAAAACATGTATATTGTTGGCTCTACTCCAGAACCGTAGCTCCATGGCTAGCTGACTGGCACGAGCGTCACGTGCTGCAGTGTGCTCCTCACTTGGAGATAGCTCAAACTGCAGAAAGGCGTGTTAGATTAGCTGCTTTGCAGGCATCTGCCTGACAGGCATTACAGAGGGAACAACAGTCTCTTTCAGACCGAGCATCTGATATGTTTGATCAGATTTCCGATCTGTTTTTTTGACCTGATAATGTGTAAATGCATCAAAATGTCCCACTGGGAAGCTCTAACAGTGGGAGATTTATTATTTCTTTGCTAACAACTACAGTTTTGTAATAATTCCTGAAGTTTAATGCAAAATAATACCCCAAGTGTCAGAAAAATACCTATTCACTTCACTCGGCTGCTCCAGCTCCATTCATCTGTGACTGAGAAACCCCCCCGCCACTTCAGATGACACTCTCAGGCTGGTTCTGCAATTTCACTTTGGACATTTCACACTTTCCATCATGAAAGAAAGCAACATTTCCAGGGACTTTTTCAAGTAAAGTAGTTATTTAAAGTAGTTTTTGTAGTTCCCCATTTGCTAGAACAAGAGACACCCAGGGGAAAATCTGTTCATGTCGGGTCTCCACCTTCAGTCTGCGACAGGAAGTCAGTGATGTTCAGACTCAGGGGGTTTAGTTCTGTTATGTGTAAGTTACTGTGTTCTGAATGAGGCAGATAAATGCAAAATAAAATTCAGTATTTTGTGATATTTCCACCACTGTTCTAACCTCCGCACCTCAACATACAGGTGTCTACAAGAGGACGTCAAAACAAGAAGACGCTGTCTTTAATATCCTGCAACCGTAAAGCTCTGAATTTGCCAGACAACGTACCGGCAGTTCATCTCGAATTCACTGAGTACTACTTTCCTGACAACCCCACTTTCACAGGTATCATGAAAAACATTTTAGTTTTTGTCTCTCTGAAGTTTAGATTTTATTTGAGCAATGTATATCTGCTTTACTTGGTCACGTACTTAATGACATAGTTACAAATTATGACTTGTAAATATCCTGTATCAGTATCCTTCTCCTTTTTTTCATCCCTCAGTGCCCACCTCAAACCTGTATGGCCAGCTGAACGGCCTCCAGCTCTGTGTAGACCCACCCAGCGTGTTGTGGATCAATCTGTTCTCCAGGGGTCTGCTGCACACCCTGGACCAGGTCAAAGCTTTCTACCATTTGCAAGACAGCAGCAGGGCCGAAGAGCACGTAGACATCCGCGTAGATGCATCACAGCTTAAGGTAAATACATATCTGTTTCGTCTGATTGTAGTTTTTTGCATTTCTAACAAACGTCTGTAAACTGATAGTTGATGTGACTGTTTTTTATTCCTCTCTATAGTTAATAATCCCCTTGGATTCTTCCATATTGGATCATCCGGAGCGTCCACAGTCCCTCTCTGTTACTGTACCCCAGATGGTTCTCAGCAACACCCGCCTCTGCCCTCATGGCTCCAGAGCTGACCTCAAAAGCACCATTGACAAGTTCTCTAGCTGCCCTTTTTTCCAGCCCACACCTCCCTGCTGCCCCTACCCCAGAGACCAGAGTGCCTTCCACCCCATCCCATCAGCCTTCCTTCAGCACTCTAAAGAAACAGTGCTCCAACCTCTGGACAAAAAGCAGCTACGATCACAGGACGTCTGGTCTCTCAGTCTGTCCCGTGTGACCTTAGGTTTTGACGGAGCGCGGCGATTCCCCAAAGGCAGAACTCAACCTTTTGTTGAGCCCTTCGCAATGTCTGTGTGGATGTGTCAGCCCGCTGCCTTTAAAAACAGATCATCGTCTTCCCCCTCTAGTCCCAGCACGGCCCAGCAGCCTTCCTCAGAGCAGGAAGAGGCTCCGCATGCCTCTTTCCACGTCTTGGCCAACACCATCACGCCGGTGAAGATGTGGCTCAACCACTACCAGTATGTTGCCCTGCTGAGGATGAAGGACGCCATGGCTCGATTAGGGGCAGAGTTGGGTCAGGATCTACGAGACGTTAAACAGGCTCACGGCCAGAAGACAAAACCTACTACAGCTTGTGTTGCCCTCCTGGTGGACTCTACAGAATTGGGTCTTTTGTTGCCGCCGGTGTCCACAGAGCCCGATGAAGAAGTCCCCCACACTCCAGAGACTGATAGCCCCAGCATGACTGACTCTGACATCTCCCCCACTCATCACTCTGCAGTGCTGGAGGACAGCGGGTTAGAAAATGGCATCTCCTCCATCAACACCGCCACTGCGTTTGACCAGGATGAACAGGACGAGGTGGTGGAGGAGGCATGTGAGGCTGTGGAGGAGGGCTTGGACGGGGACGGTTTGACAACACAGGAGGACACCCCTGTGCTTTCACCTCCACTCTCACCTGGACACTCCCCTGTCCTCTCTCGCGAACCGTCCAACTTCAGCCTGGAGGGAGAGCTGTCAAGCGCCATCAACGTCACCAAGGATGTGACCAAAGATGCCATTAGTGCCTCGCTGGACTTGACCAAAGGGGCGTTTTCAATAACAAAGGACGCCTTTAGCATGCTGAGTCGTGGCTCAGGGATGAGCAAATTGTTCAGTCCGCAGGCAAAGTAAGTGCTCTCCTGCTGTGCTGTTGGCACCATAATAGTGTTTGTGTGTCTGGAAGCCATACTGTGCGCCACATGTTATTACAGGCTGTCCCGTCACAACTGTGTGTGTGTAAATGTGTGTGTGTTCATAGGGAACAGGTCCAGCGTACAGAAGAGTCCTCCCCCTCCCTGGCTGCCAGCCTGCACCACCAATCCATGAAGCAGTCGCCTTCCCAGCATTCCTTTGATAGTGCTATCTTGGATGGCAGCCTGCCTGACGAGAATCTCTCTGTGGATAGTGACGTCAGCGACAATTTTGTTGTTCTCATGGACTCAGGTGCTTAAAATACCGCCAGGTTTCCAAAGCAATTTTTCTGAATAACACAGGTGACACCTACTATAACTTTGTATCATGTTTGCAGAGTCAGGTGTGGAGTCCATGCGTCCCAACAACACTCCTGTGGGCAGTCGAGGCAGCCCAGCCCCAGGGACAGAGGGAGGGTCATCAGCTGATCTCAGCAGCTCTCTGTCCCAAAGTATTGAGGACGTGTCTCAGGATATGGTGCGTTACTAAGCTCAAATAAAAGATTTCATGGATAGACTGAATATGTCGGTGGAGTTTCATCGTCTTCTTGAACAGCCACTTCTCAAAGAAACATTAAAATCTTTTCATCAGTAATTACAACAATTCAAACATTCATTTCACATCTAAATCTACAGTGGATTAAATGTGACCTTACTGTGATGTGCTGTTGTTACAGTCCTCAGTTTTGTTGCTGGTCCTGAGTGGAACAGCCTGTACTATGGAAGCAAAGGGAGAAGACCAAGTTGTTGCTGTAGAAACTCAGAGCGTGACCCCTGTGCAGTTGGGAACTGTCAGAGTATCAGACCTGATGGCCGGCCTCGTACAAGGTAACCTGGATTATTATTGCCATGGTGTTTGTTTCCTGTCAACAAACTCTTGAAATATAATTTCTCAGATCACATTTCTCTGTTTACTGGTTACATGCAACGACAGTCCCGGCTGAAGGCATTATGTTTTCAGGTTGTCTGTCTGAACCTACATTTGTCCCATTCTTGTGAACACATAATCTCAAGAATGCCTCGAGGGAATTTCCTTAAATTTGGCACAAACCACTTGTGACATGTGAAAACCCCACCTCTCAAAACATGATTTGACCACAACTCAAGCATTCCTGTGCTAATTATGACTAAATTTCGCACAAATGTCTAACAAGGTAAAATGATAAAGTGATGACATTTTCTATTCAAATGGTCAAAGGTCAGCTTCACTGTGACTGTGGCATACAACTTTGCATATATTCTTATCCCCATTCGGAGAAACTAAAGCGTGGCAGAGCATTGTTCCTATGGGCTACATCAACACTAAACCCCAGAGAATCAGAATGTAGTTGGCACATTGTCTCAGCTGGAAAAGGAACCTGACCAAGTCACAGTAGGGAAAGCATACCGGAACTTGTTGTATAAAGTGCCCAACTGGCTTACAAATGCAGCCTCACCTTTGTTCCCTGCAGCCCCAGGCGGACAAAACCAGAAGCAGGACAGGCCGCGCAGCAGGGGCTCTCCAGCAGTGTGCATGCGAGCAGAAATGGGTCCGTGTGCAGCCCGACACTCTGCTCTGGCTGAGTCTCTGGGATTCCTGGAAATTAGAGTGCAGGACTGCAAGGCAGAGCTGTTTGCCTCCACTGTGGCCAACATTGGGCCTTTTCTGGAAGATGAGTTCAGTGTGGATGGTCAGCCGATGAGGTTACACATGAAAAACATCACTATCACTCTGAAGGTGGGTTGTTGATAACGCCTGGAATTGAGTGTAATTTTGAATTTGCTGATTATTAGATGTAAATAGAAAATGCATTTTACATTATTGTAGATATGATTATATAAATGTTTTGTACGCTTTTAATGCAGTTGCCATACTGAGTGCATTATCCCGGTGAAATAAAATGTAACTGAAGCTTTGAACACACTCTAATCTTTTAGAGTAAAAGGACTAATGGAGAGCCAGTGTTGACGTGTGGTAAATTGTCAGAATCCCTTTTGTGTCTTTTAGGATGATGGCCCTAAAATCTACCCTACAGCCCCTCAACCTGTCCCAGCCTCGTTCATTGTAGACGCACTGCTCCTCGAGCGCAGTGAGGATGGCCTCATGAGGCTCAAAGGTGAGCAAGAAGATAACTTGTGCTGTGAATACACCCACATATCCACAGGACCATGAACCGTAAAACCACAAGTCCTCCAGCTGCTGTAGTGTGTTTACAGAAAGATGAACAGAAAGTGATCCTCACCATTTCCTGTCTGATTGCAGCTGAAGGTACCGACCCTGAAGCCTCAGCAGGTGTTCTTGTGGACAACCCGGACAACTCAAACAGTTCCTGCTCTGATCAACAGCAGAGCGAGGTAGGTTAGACCGAGCAGTACCATATACTGTACATGCTTCATCTTAATGTGTCTGCAGCCACAGGTGGAAGCCAGGAGTTTAGAAATACTGAGGTCCTAATGACTACATGTGACTTTTTTGGAGGAGATAGGTGTGTGTGTTTGTGGGTGAGGTGGGGGAGGTGGGGGAGGTGGTTGGTTAATTATACAAGTGGCCATGATATACTATTTAAATATTTCCCAGCACATTTAACCCTTTGAAACCTGAAACGACATCACTTTTCTTGTGCTGCTTTCAAACGTCTTTCACAAGTATTCAAACCTTTGAACCCAGAGCTAATTGGTGTGATTTTATACAAAGACTTTGGGGGGAAAAGGCAGTGAGCAACTTGGTAAAAAATGTTCCACAAATTGCAATATAACTAATTTTAAAAAGACTATTCAAAAAAGCTAGGGGGAAAACAATATTAATAATTGTCATTATTATTATTTAAATTATGTTACATAATCGTTATAATTTTTAAACTCATTTTCCAGGTCATTTCCTTGTTTTTTTGGTTTTAATTTTTGTGTATTTAAAAAAACAAATTCAAACCAATTTTCTCGCCTATAATTTTTTCTTTTTACTAATTTCTTGCTAATTTTTTTTTGAAAGAGCCCAAGTCAATTTGATGTCACAAAGGGTTCATATTATGTTTCTCTGCCTCCACAGAGTGAGTAAGTGGTTATTTTTTTCCGTAATTTTATATTTATTTGACGTATCACATGGTATGGAGTACAAACATTACATACAGTAACAGAACAATGGCACACAGCGTGGCTAAAGTACAACAAATGTTACTTGAATAAAGGAAGGACATTCTTCAAAAAACAACCTAGTTTACAGATAACTTTTGGCTCATGTGATTGTAATAACAAAATTAATTTAAACATAGATGGACGGTTTGAATGATTATTTGGAAAAAACCTTTCTCTGTAAGTCATTCAGCTTACATTCTGACATTCAAACAAAACATGATACTCATCTCCCACATGATGATCATCACAGAGGTTGCAGATCCTCTGGTTTCTATCCAGCCCTTTATATCTTCAGGTGACTTCAGGAATTCTGGTGTTATTTACTCTGAAATTATAAACGGCCTGTCTGTACTTTTGGTTTTAAAATACTACAGATGGCATTTGCAGTAATTAACTGTGGCTGAACAACGACAACCAATAAGAGCTGAGGAGTCTCTAACGCAGTTGTCAATTATGTCAATCACTGTTTGTGAACTGCGGTCAAACTGTCAAACTAGGCAGCACTGATCAAATTTGAATCAAGACTATGTCTCCCCTCAGCAGTTGCTTTAGTTTACTGTTTGTTTGGTGAGGTGTCTTGTAAATCAGAGCACATTTCCTTCACATCCTTTCGTAGCTCTTTTGCTTCAGCTCTTTTGCTTGGCGTTTTCAGATTCTGATCTTAATTCAATAATTTATATTTTAAGATAACATCTTTCATTTGCTTCAGCATGTCCTCGAGGCTTTGTTCAAGGCTTTTATCAGCTGCCATCATGTCTGGTGTTTTGCTTGTCCCACGAGCGTTGTCTTTTGTCTTTGTTTTCTTGGATAGCTCTTGCATAATCGCTTCTGAGCGCAGATTCATTCTGTTTAATAACTCTTTTCGATTTTCGTGATTTTACTGCTTTCAGGGGGGTTTATTAGAGACGTTCTCGCGCTACTCTGTCATGCATGCTGCTGCCCGGAAGCCCCTCACATTTTTCAGAAACATATTTTAATGACTCCAATCAAAAAGTTTGCTTGCTTAAACGCTATGTAACTTAATCCTACATGGCAGCAGGGTCATAAACTTTATCATTTCATCATCTTTTTACAGCTGAACAGTACACTAAAATATGTTTCTGAAAACATTTTAGGTGAGAAATAGGCAATACAGCAACAGAATCTTGATTCATATTTTACAAGCCCTGCCTAGTTTGACTGTTTGACTGCAGTTCACGAGCAATGATTGACAGCTGCGTTGGAGACTCCGTGGCTCTGATTGGTTGTTTTTCCAAACGGGGGCAGTGGATTCTTGCAAATGCCATTAGGAGCACTAGGAGAGGCAGAGGAACATGATTTTTTTCACATAATATTTGACTCATATACTGCTGTCACACTTTTGGCAAATAAGACAAAAACTTGCTTTTATATTGTTGAAATTTATTGCCATGGTCATTTTATTTCTACACACACGCACAAAAAACTTGGTTATATACATGTAAAGTCACAGTATATACCTCGCAGGATATAATATACTAGACTTGAGGCGTCAGTTTGAAAGTAAGCGTTAATGTCGTCACTGATCATTATCCTGTGGATTATTTTCACACTGTTTTTCTCCCCAAAAGTTACACATAGTAACAGGTTATAAAACATGACCTCAGTGGTCACTTTGGCCTTGTCTGTATCACAGTCACAGTTCAGGGAGCCAACAAACAAAAGGGCCGGTTTGTTTAGTTTTGTAGTGTGTGTGTGAATGTCAAGTGTGAAGTGTGAAATCAAGATACGACTTGCAAACAAATTTAGCGGCTATCAAAAGGAATATCAACACTATGCCAACCATGATGCTGTGTGTATCTGTGTGTATCTGAGTGTAGCTGTGTATGATACTCTCACAGGGTCAGGTTAAGTTATTGAAACCTCTGCTGCGTTAGATTTACAGGTCCTGCTCGTGTTTAAGTCTTCAGTAATCTGCTGTGTCTTCAATACAGCTGTTAAACTGGTGTTCTGTTACTGGTCACCTCTAAGATACACAACACAGAGATGTGTCCGTACACAAGATTGTCTAATGGTATTGTAATTACACCTGTTGCTGTCAGGCAGAATCTGATATCCGCACACTTGGCGTGCAGCACCTTGGCAAAGCGTTCTTGAGCTGGAGCTGGAACTAACCAATCCAATAATCCGTTACAGGGACAAACCCTGGAGTCCCAGCTCTCTGATGCCCAGGCTGCTCTCGCCCAGGCCCTCAGCGACAGAGAACGCCTCCTTCTGGAAGTCAGGAAGTATGACCCCATGTTTACCCTGTGAGCCTCTCTGTCTTTCACCTCTCAACCTGCTGCATTGCTGCTCCGGCTGAGGATCAGTGATGGGATGTATCGGGCTGAATGTCAGGAACCAGCAAGACTCAGTAAAAGCATGTCAAGACATTGGACATGTTTGAAAAGACGATGGATCCGAGCTGTGGCTCTGGATCACTTCCTACTAGCGATATCACACTGTTCATGGGATTATAAAAGAGCCCCTATAACAAGTACTAAAGGGGAACCTAGTGAACTAACTTGTAGGTACATTAATGGTACGACTTTTTATCTGGCAGTCTAGATACTCCTCATTGCTCTACTTAACACAGATTATCCTATTTATCATCCAACAGTGTGGACAGTAAACTCATTGTGTGGTTTCAGTGTTTGTCACACAGCATGCAAGTTTACATTTCATCAAGCTTTAATTCTCTCCAGTAAATTCTTGTGTTTCGGAAATATTAAGTCAAGCACATGCCAAAACCTCCTCTTCACATGCACTGACACTGCCAGACAGCTGCTAGTCCCATCAGTCACTCCCTCTACAAAACACAACCTAAAGGGAAACAAGTGTATGTTTCAACCTGGACCCATTTTCTCCATGTTTATGTGTCTAAGTGGCTAATGGAAACAGGAATGTTGACACTGGTCAAGTATTGACAGAGAGCACTGCAGCCAGCAGTGCGAAACAAGCTGCAATGTAACAGGAATTTATGGACTGTTAATTTATGTCAGATTAACAGTTATGACAGGCTCAGATTATTAAGTGTCTGACAACATTATGGAAAGGATACCTACAGAAACAGACCTTTTTGGTAAAGAGTAAGATCCTTTTCCTTAACCAGGCACAAGGGGTGGGCAATATGGTCCTAACATTATATCACGATATTTCATGGAATTTTTGTGATAACGATATCCTTGACGGTATGACAAATTAGCAAAAAAAAAAAAAGGTATTATTAATTTAAGAACATAGAATTGCAACAAAATAAGTGATTTAGTTTTACAGTTCGCCTTAATAGTAAGCCTTAATTCACCCAGTTAGATATGAAAATATGCCGGCTCTATACAGGCTAAAATTACAGTTTCTTTAAATGGAGTCTGGTGGGTTTAGTGATGGTGATTTCCGGGTTTTTTTCTGGTTAAAAGAAAAGGTCTTACTCTCTAACAAAAAAAGTCTGTCTCTGTAGGGATCCTTTCCATAATGCTGTCAGACAAATTACAATCTGAGCCTGTTAGTTGCAAAAACAAACACTTTTAGACGTAAACAGACGGTGCACAAATGCCCCAAGTGTTTACACTGCAGCCTGTTTCGCCTCTGCAGGCTGCAGCCCTCTCGCTCAATACTGGATTAGCCTCAAAAATTGTTACTCCCATTAGTCATTTAGTCACAAAAGCATGACAAAATAGAGGCTGGGTTGGAAAAATACTTAAGTTACCCTTTAATGTCAGGCATGCTTTTTAAACAGTGCTAATTCACATGTAGCACATTTAAAGGTAGACAGTCATAAAGCTAAATGGAGTTAGTAATGTAGATTACTTCTGTTAGGTGTGTGTTCCTTTTCAGTTTAAAGTATTATGACAATATTGTCAGCTGTTACTTGTGAAAGGTAGGGAAAACAATGCACTTTTTTTTTTTTTTTTTTTTTTTAAGAAAGGCAAAACACTGCTTTCACCAAGAGATGGATGCATCTCTACTTCCACCTTGGTTGCTTTATCAGCGGGGTGGAATGGTTACACTCTTATCAAGTTCTCACTGTTCTCAAAAAGCGGGTCAAATCATTCCCCAGTGTTATTTTTCTTTGAGTTGTGAAACGTCGATCGTTATCCTTTTGTACTGTGAAACTGTGCTCTGTGGTAAAGATGTCCACTCACGACGACACACCTTTCGACCTCTCCCTTTGGCTGTGGAGAGCAGGGTGCACAGTAGCTTCAGTATTGTAACAGGGTTAGTTTTCTCACTCTAACTCTCTGGTTTAAAGATTAAACCACCTACCACAGTTATAATACTTGATCTCAGTAAAACTTGTTTTGTAGCTTGCCAGGAAACAACTCAGACTGCTTGTGTTATTACCTCTGTGCACATTTGTCATGTGTAGTATAATGGTCACGAACATATATGTGTATATTTATTTAGATCTGTGAACATGTGTTTTTTTTAGACCACAGTGTACTGAAGCCATATCAATCAACACAAATTACATTTAAAAAAAATCTGTAGTACTGATCACGTATGCAGAGTGTACACAGTGTGTCATGTAAATGACCAGTTTCACTATGAGCACTGATATATTTCAGTGTGTGTATCCTGCTCTGCTGCAGATTTGATCTGAAGCCAGTTGCCTGTTCAAATTTCCTTCCCTTTCTCCTCTCTATGCATAAATCTGTGACATGCATAGATAGAAACAATGATGGATTTGTTCATCAAAGACTGTTTATCGGTACAACATTCATTTTATGAATGCTCTCATGAGAAAGACCTCTCTGCTGGCTACATCTTAGGTACAGAAGTTCTATTGTTAAACCACTGGTTTATCATTTTAGCCTGTGGAGGTATGTTATCTATCTTCATGGCTGCAAAGCTGTGACAGCCACCTTTCACTCATCATTGTCCTGTTGTGTGCTGCGGAGCCCCCTGGTGGCTGGACTGGCCAGAGCACTCCTCATTCATTTATTTTCTTTCTTACATTTGGTTGCCTTGCAAGCTATGAATGACTGATTTGCATTCTTAAAGAGGAATGTAAGATATTTAAGCAATAGACAGACAGCTTAGGTTGAACCAAAAACACGACAAAGAACGGTACACTACACATTTTGGATGTGGAATCTTTTTTTTGTCTTATAAGACGACTAACGTCAAAGAAAAGTATTTTACCTGTCCACCAGGTTATAATGTTTTCCCTTGAACTGCATGTGTACTCCACACATCCGTACTATCAGTGTAATAAAGCAGAGAAACTGCCCTTTAACCTCAGTATAACTTATAATCGTGATCTTCTCAGCTTTTGATGTTTATGTTTTTGCATGGCCTTAGTAGACAAAGACACAGTGGTACGAAACTGAACGCCCCATGCTGGATGCAACATGTAGCTGTTAAGTTTATCCAGTTTCCCTCTCCTGTCAGGCCTCAATGTTGAGTAGCATCTCTATTCTGCTGACAAACTGGTGCTCTGAGTTCCATCTGCTCATAACCATGCAAACAGGAGACGGACAGAGAGTGAAGCGAGACTCACTGCGGCTCAGATGTCTCTTTTCATAAGACTGACCTGGCAAAGTGTTGACACTGAACGCAGATGCATGTACTGAAGTTGTGTTGCGTAGTTTATGCCTTGTGGATTACTTGCAATCGTGTGATAAATTCACTGGAAATTGCACTTGTTTCGATGTGAATCACTTCAAAGGATCGCAGAGGAGTCCTTGTGAAATCTTCCTGAGTGATGCAAATGTTGGAGACCCTGTGGACAGTATTTTTGTCAGTTGTGTAGCATTACATTGACTTTTGTATTGTCTTTATCACTTCATTGAGACTAATATATTTGGTTCTGTGAACCAAAGCTAGTATGTGGAAAATATTTTAAAAGTGAAACAATAAATGATTAATTGCTGAACACATTCAAGTTGTGACTGAGTTTAATAGAAATGCATGTTTGCTTGTAACAGAAAATCATCTACTGAAATCATTTTTGTTGTCATAACATACAAACTTTTAAGTGCAAGTCTCACTCATTATTTAAGTGGTGTCATCAAGAGTTTGTTCAACTCAATAAAAAAGTCTACATATTTAGTCTACAAATAAAACTTAAAACATCTTTATTTTAGTATTGTTAGACAAACTAAATTAATTCTGAGATGAGCTGAATGATGAAGAGTCAAGTTTTGCCGTCAGCTTCTCACACCAGAGGTTTTATCATTTGAAAAAGGATCCAAACATTTTCAAGAATCAAAATAATATCCAGTGTGAGCTTGTGTGGCTGTAAATGGAAACAAAAAGGTGACCATTTTTGTAATTAAACCCATTGGAACTAAAAGGCATCATACTGTTTTCCCACCAAAAAGTCTCTCTAAAAATAACGGCTTCTTAAAAATAATTGAGGCACAAGAACAAAACATTTGTATAAAACATACTGTATTTACAACCATAATACATCAATATAATTTCACACCATTTGAACTGTGTGCTGCATCAAACATTTACCTGACAGTTGTGTTCATGTAAGACACCCTCTTAATCTTGTCTGTCTTCAGTATTGCAGTCACTGATTTGACTCTGGTTAGTCAGTAGAGAATAACCAACATTAAGTTGGCTACAGAGGCTTCACGACAAGCCATGGCAGCATTCTGTATCGCAGACATGCTCCCTCCTTTAATTTAAAGCACGTGTGCCTCAGTGAAAGAGAATATTCTTGTACTTGGTGTTGGGAATCTGATCTCTGCTCTTCAGCCTCCTCACTGCTTCCCTCATATGCTTGGGCTGCAGCGGTGGTGTATCTCCCCACTTTTCACAAACGTCCAGTGCTGTAAAGACCAAAGACAAACTATTTAACTTGCACCAAGAAGTACAAATAAAAAGTACCGTATTTGGTCTGAATGTTTTCTTGTTTGTAAGTCTGCCACTCACCTTCCTCAACAATCTCCCCAGCAAAAACCTTGGATATACCAGACATAGCAATCACCACGTTCTGGGACACTGATGACCCCGTTATGGACTGGATCAGCTGGAAGATGAAGAGAGAAAAAAAAAGACATCAAGCCAGACAAAGTATTTTCAGAGATTTAAAAACACTGTCAGTGTTTAGAAACACTTACCCTCTTAATAGCAGCCTTAGGGAAGGCAGAACGTCTGTACATCTCATAGCGATTCAGCTGCTCTTCAGAAAAGGATGACACCAAAACTCTAAGATGAAGAACAGGGGGATGATGGTGAAGTATACCAGGATGAAACTTAAAGTGTTTTTTAAATTAGAATGGTTTGTTAGAAATGCCAGTCTTACTGCATCTTTTGTATTTCATCCTCGTCCACCTTTTGCCGCTTCTCCTTTTTCTTCTCCGGTTCCACCTTCAGTCTTTTGGAAGCAGGTTGGCCAGAGGTTCCCTCTTCCTCATCGTCCCCAGCTGCTATCCCCTTCACAGCGGAAGACAAAACTGTTTAGAGCCACTAAAAACAATATGATGCTGCCAATCAGAATCAGAAATACTTTTTTGATCCAGAGGAGACTCTGTGATTCCTTAGAGTCGTTCCGATGTAAAGAATAGAGACTTACAGTAAGAGTATGAAATAGGAGTATGTAAATATAAAGTAATAACATAAAATAGAAATAAAAATGTGCATTATGCTTCAATGTTTAACACTAGTACTTAAGATATTAAGAATAAAAATACGTTCAGTATCTGTAAGTGTGTAGAAATATACAAATATATGGACTGTTCTTCATCACACTGTTTAAACTACTATGTTACATTCAGAAATATGATAAATGTATTATGCTGTAAGACAGTGTTCACTTTTAGATGTTTGTCTTTTTTGTTGGACAGAAAATAAAACTTTAGTTGATGTCTAATTTGGTCCAGAACTCACAGGTTTCACCTCCTGTTTGGGCTGATCTTGTGAAGACGACTCTTTGTTGTCATCTGCAGGTTTAGCTGTGGCAGGTAACGTTGCATCTTCAGTGTCCTCTGATTTAGGATCCTCCTCGTTAGCAGAGGCTGTTCTTTCAGGTGTAGCCTCAGGTTTGATGCGTGCAGGGTCGGCCATATTCACTCAGTCACCCCAACACCGGCTGACAGCTTCAGATTCTGCGATATAAACAAGGTACTTGATCAGTTAGCAGTTTGGCTAACGCTGGTTAGCTTTCAGTTAGCTCAGCCGGCTAATGCCTGGCGCGACTGTTAGCGCTAACGTTACATGACAAACGTTTTTTAGCTTTTATACCATTTTAGCTAAGAAGTCTAAATAAAGACTATATATGTTTGTGTTAATGACCACTTTCAGATAAAAAAAGACATGGAAACAACATGCACCTACCTTCTCTGCAGCTAGGCGTCAACAAAACAGCAGGAATGGCCAAGCTAACGGCGGAGGTAAGCTAACGTTAGCTTAGTAACTGACGCTAGTTAGCAGGGTAGCTAACAGATAACGCTGAGATTTCTGCATTTACTATCAACTAAATTTAAGCAACTTCTTAGAAAGAGTAATGATAGCATCAGAATGCTAGTTGTTTTAGGCTTTTTGATGGCATATGACCCCGGGTTTCCGTTTCCGGTTTTGAACGAACTTTATAGACACAAGCAACAAAACAGAAACACAGCGAGCTTTCAGAGAGTCAAACATATCAACATTAAACAAGACTGTTTAATGTACTGTTTATTTTGTGCTCTAACTGTTAATAACAATTTTTAAAATTTAATGTTGAACTTTTAAAGTTTTAAAATGTTACAAAAACCCAATTATATCACAGTTTAGACTACTGTTCACCCATATTCTATGATGTCACCAGTCCTGGGAAAGGTTACTTTGGAAATATAATGGGTTACAGAACACTAGTTACACTATTAAAATGTAATAAATAATGTAACTATTTTATACACTACTACTACTACATATTATACTACTACTTATTACATTTCATTACTCTTTGATTACTTTTCTAACGATGTTTTACATTTGGCAATAAAATAAGAGCATAAGTGTCACACTCAACAAGATGAAAAGATGAGGTTGTTTTGTTTTTTTAACAAGAGATAACATATTGTTACAAATGTGTTTAACCTTTATTTAACCAGGAAGTCCCATTGAAATTGAGAATCTATTTTACAAGAGAGACCTGTCCAAGGCAGCAGCCAATGCAGCAATGAGTAAGTGACTTTGCATCTGTAATAAAACATAGAGATGCATGGTACACTGAATTGAGGATATGTAAAATGGAGGAGGTTGCATGCAGATACAATATGTCACTGTAATCAAACACAGACAGAAGAGTAGCTTCCTCAAGTTTTTTCTCAGCACTGAAAGTACAACAAATAAAAACAAACTTCCACTTTAAGCTTCCTAACTAGAGCAGCAATATGTGCATCAAATGAAAGCTCGTCATCTATCCATACACCCAGGTACTTGTATGAGGACACTCTTTCGATGGATTCAGAGGTGAAGATGCTAAATAACAAAAGCAGCTGTGAGCGAGCTTTTGAGAGGACCATGAACTTTCTGAGCATTTGATTACTCTGATTACTTTTCTAACAATGTTTTAAATTTGGCAATAAATTAAAACTCCTAAAAACACAAGTTTGTCAGTGCTGCACTCAAATTTGACCTGTATTGTTTGGAAATGTGCAAAAAAGCAAACATTTGTAATCACCAAAATTGTATTAGTAACTGCAATTTAATTACATTTTTTTCCTCAGTAACTGTTTACAATTATATTTGTTTTGTAACGTTCCTGACGTTTTTCTTTAATAAAACAGACATGAAAACTTCCTAGTTATTGCTAATAGTCTCTAATCCACAGTTGTCACATTTTGGTGACTGGATATTAGTAGAATAAATTAAAATTTCAAATTCATGTGAACGAATGGATGACTGAAATAAAAAGAAATCAAATAAACAGTTGTAGTCACTGAAATTGTATTAGTAACTGCAATTTCATTACATAATTTTCTCTCAGTAACTGATTACAATTATATTTGTGTTGTAATTTAATTACCTAACTCTGTCACATGTAACTAGTTACTCCTCAACTCTGGCTGTCACCTGATCAGATGTTATGAAATGTTCCTGTTCACACACGTTTTTTTTAACCTGACATGAGTACTTCCTAGTTATTGCAAATAGTCTCATCTAATCCACAGTTGGATTGTGGAGGATGTTTGTAGAATAAATTAGTAATAAAATTATTAAATGAAAATTTGGACAACTCACAGTATGGATGAGTGATAGTAAATAATCAAAGGGTTAGATCTGGGAATTTGGTTTGGACTCTGGATGTGACACTAGAAAAGATGTGTTAACCACTGGATGGGTCTCTCTGCCGGCTTCTCTAATGTAGTATACTTCGGGCGCCATCTTGCTTACACTCATCCACCTCCCCTAGTGAGCAGTCAGGGCGGGGGTGCTAGAGGTTGTGTGTGTGTGTGTGTGTGTGTGTGTGTATGTGTGTGTGTGTCTGAGGCGTTTCGGATTGGAGATGCAAAAAGAAAGGGCAGTTTCGAGGAAGTGACGGACGAGGCTCAGGGGACTGGTCAGAGGAAGTTTGCTCGATGGTTGGTACCGTGCTGCTGAACCAAACTTTTCCCCCCTGAGCAGCGGCGGCACCGTGGATCGGGACGGACGGATCCAGCGGCGGAGGGAGCTTTTGTTTCCTCGCCACACGAGCACCGCTGAGGACTAACTTGAGGTCGGGAGAGAAAACGGGGGATCGCAGAGGAATTTCACTCCCGTAACCAAGCCCCCCTTTTCCCTTCGCTGCCCCGCGCCTCCTCTGTTTTTTTTTACCCCGGGATTCGCGATGGGGAAGGAGCAGGAACTTCTCGAAGCGGCGCGGACTGGAAACCTGGCCGCGGTGGAGAAGCTTTTATCCGGGAAGCGACAGAGCGCTGGCATCGGCAGCGGATCGTCTGGGACCGGTGGAAGTGGCAACAGCGGCGGACACGGCGCCTCCTCTCATCCGCTCTCCAGTCTGCTCAGGTAGGCTCTGGAAAAGGGAAGCAGAGGCGGATATAACTGCATGGGAGACAGCCAGAAGTGTTGCACACCCAAACATAGCCTCATATCCTAATCTTAAACCCGATAGTGAAGTATGTTAAATATCCCTGGCTACTTACACACTGTATTTTTATGTGCATTGCCAAACAACCCTAACCCAAAGCAGTGCAGCGCAGGAGCAGTGGCATGCTTCTTTGTTAGCTCCCAGCTCCCTGTCCCTGCCAGTGCCAGCTGTACTGTGTTGTGCATAAATGGCCTGGCTGGTAATGATGCAACTAAACTGCAGAAATCTGCAACAAAACAGCCCATGGTCTCTTTAAAAACTCACACAGATGCATTATTAATTGCTTACATAAAGTCTAGACCTGAACACTGACTAATGAAGGTGGAGGAGAAAACCAGTTGTCAGAGCCAGACACATTTTTAAACAGCATTTCGTTTGCAAATCTTAGCTCTAGATTTAAAACCTCTTTTCCTTACGTCAGCTACAAAGGTGTAAGCTTGGCATATTTCATTTCTATCCATCCGTGGTCACAAGAGGAAGTGCTCGGTGAAGGAGATATTTGATGTGGTTTTTCATATGTATACAAGCCCTACCATGCAAGGTTAGAAAGGTTTAGCTGCTCTGTCAGGTTTTTGTTTGTCAGCACTGGTTTTTGTTCTGCACACTCCCCCTTTTATTAGTTGCAAGCTCTGATCTAGAGATAGGAATGCAAACTACAGTCAGTACACAGTACCTGATATCCTTGCCGTCATGCCACCTGTGCACATTCTGTTCATAGATGCACAGATAAAAATGCCCAACACTGATTTGAACTGCTGACGTCTTTCCCCTAACTGGAATGTATTGGTAAGGGCTTAAGGTAATCAGCCCGAGTCTGTGTTTTTGATAGTAAAAGATTGAATCCTCACCCTGAGCCTTCTTCTAATGTGCCATCCCTTTGACTTTGTGCAGGAGGCTGCTGGGTAATATTAAATAATAGGATGCAATATATTAGATCTGATAAGTTATGCTTTTCATTTTGTCCTGCAGATGTTATCTGAGTCATAGGCTTAGCACAGCAGGGTTGTCGAATTTCCCAGGGCTGGAATGTATTTCTTTTTTCCAGAAAATTCTGTAGTTTCATAATGCATCCATAGTTGAGACCCCCATTGTGATGTACGCAATATTAACACCCAAAACAGCTCTGTTGTTGAAAGAGCCTAAAGGGACAGCTCACCCCAAAATCAACAATGCACATTTTTCCTCTTACCAAGTGTTGGAGGTATCAGCCGTAGAGATGTCTGCCATCTCTCAGATATAATCGAACTAGATGGCACTCAGCTTGTGGTACATTTGAAAAACTCAACAGCAGTCTTGTTTCCAGAAATCATGGCCTGAATACTTGAGATAATCCACAGACCTTGTTGTGAGCAGTTTCATGTAGGAACTGTTTTCTGTCTTCCTAACTACACCTGTCAACCATAACCATGCAGAAGGAAGTGTGCATCATTTGCTAGCTTGTCTAGCACTAGTGAGCTTGCTAATGTTACAGCTCAGACGAGGAGGACGCCATTAATGTTTACATCTCGCACTGTCACGAGCCTCTCAGCTATGAGTAGATGCACACTTCCTTCTGGACAGTGTTGTTTGTTAAAAAGAAAATAGTTCCCACATGAAACTGCTCTCAACAAGGTCTGTGGATTATCCTGAGTAACCAGATCATGATTTCCGAAAGGAGACATTGCTGTTGAGATTTTCAAATGTATTTTTGGCGTTTTGAGCACCACACGCCAAGTGCCTTCCAGTTCCATTATATTCAAGAGAAGGCAGACATGTCTATGACTGATATCTCTAAAGATATGTGTTTGATTAAGGGGTGAGTTGTCCCTTTAAAGCGACACAGGCTTCTGTATATCTGCCCATAAAGAGTGAAGTGCAGCTTGTAGATGTGTTATAATCAAAGTTATAGCCAGGCTAAGTGCTGCATGTCAGTGGCCTACAGCTGGCTCCTCTGCACTCTTATCTTAATGATGTACACATGCAGGTGAACGTCTGTCAATCAAAATATAATCTTGCTCCTCTGGGAGCCCTGTGCCCCTTTGATTCGAGGGACAAGTGTTACGGTGAAACTCGAGGTGATGCATCACTGTGTTACTTTGTGCAGACTGCACAATGTACTCAAGTTAATTACATTAAACCCTTCTAATCGGAAATCCAATTCAAAGATGTCATGTAGTCAAAGGCTGGCTCTGACTCTCGCTCACAGATCCGTGGGCAGACTGAAGAGCCAGTTGTGTCATCTGTTCTGACTTGAGCAATCAATGTTTGGCAACGATAGCTCTGGGAAATTATTGGCTAGACTTAGTGGGAAATGAATAAACTAGTGGTGACTAGATTTAAAAAGTCAGTTGCCTGTGGACACCTGAGCTTACAGGACAGTTGCAAGATTAGTGAGCACAGGACAGCCTGGGGATTTGTTGCTATTGTGTGCGACATTTGATTTCGTTTGGATAATGAAAATGTCAATACGTCTAAGGACATCACGGTGAATTACTACAGTGGTGCAGGCTGTGGGTTGGTGGGCGTGTTTCCCCTCTTTACCAGAAACGCTTTGTAACTTATTCATCATCCATTGTTGGAAAGTGTAGGCCTGTAATCCTGTCACAGGAGATTTGATCTGTTGGATCTTTCTTTTGCAAATTGTAAGCTGTGATGTTTGTAATGTCAACATGTAAGGGATGTGTGTTCTTTACACTCCTGCTGCACTTTATTACAACACTTTAACTTACATTATTTTTGTAATAAAAAAATCAACATCTGTAGCATAAACAGCCATTGTATTAGGCTTGTTGTGCCATCATAGCAAGATATGAGGCCTCATGTGCTGAACATAATCAATAACAACTACTTGTTTATTGTATACATTAAACCACAAGTGAATCATCTAACCTAATAAGCTTCATCACCATTCTCTGAAGGCGTGTTGTGTGTGTCTCCACTAGATTTTTGGCGTTCTCGCTCTGGAATGGGGTGCATGTCAAGACTTGTGTTGTTTTTGTAACCAGGCAGTTGTACAGCTCTGCTCTGAGGAATGTCTGCTTTCCCAGGAGGCTGCATCCCAGCGGTTGCCATGGGATAGACACTGACCCCGGCATGTTTAACACCGCTGCCGCCCCAAACATTTGTTCCGTGGTTTTCCATTATCACCTAAATGAGCTGGGTGGGGCTTCCTCGAGTTGGAAGGTCATGGGGTAACCTTCATAGGGCCACCGTGTTGTGGTAGCTGATGTAGAAGTAAATTTGATGAGCTCATAGTGTTGGTTGGAACTATTTAGGTCATATTGGTGTCTATACTAGGAAGAGATGTTGACTCAAGTCACATACCTTGGACTCAAGTTGGACCCAAGTTACTAATTTGATGATTTTAGATACGACAAAATCAAAAAAGACTTGCAACCCAACTTGGACTTCACACTAATGATCACTTCGATTTTAACACCAATGACTCTTGACTTCACTTGGACTTCAGCCTTTTGACCCAGAAATACTTAATACCTTCCCCCAAGACCAAAGTATTTAGAAAGTGTTGCATGAATCAATTCATTTTGCTTAATTTCCTTAATTAGCGAATGTTTACGCTATTCATTCCCAACAAGTCGACACTAAAATCCCAATATCCCCTTTCTTTCAACCAATCTGACATCTTTTAATCAAGTTGTAGGAGACAACCATGAAGACCTAACACAGTGGTTCCCAACTGGTCCAGCCAGGGGGTCCAGATTTCTCCTTAGTCATTAGTTTAAGGTCTACACAATTTAATATATTCAACGTCAGACTTGCGTTTGACCATGTTGTCCAGCTAGTTTGCTGTCTCCGTCAAGTAGCTGTCCGTTCCACTCTGGAGCAGGAAATAGCACGTTGAAATAAAAGCTATGCACCAGAAATTCACTGTACTTCAAATAAAAGTGTGTTTTTTTTACAAACTTGACAAGTTCTCAAGTCACTTGTGGATCCGCAACCCACTTTTGGACCGTGACCCACCAGTTGGGAACCACTGAACAGACGTTACCTTACTGAGCGTCAGTTAAAAGAAGTGATACCAAAGATAATTCCATTTGCGTACAAAAACTGGGCAGTGGTCAACAAAAAACAAATTGCAGTATGCAAAACTTGCGGGTCAGAAATTACAGACAGAGATGCAACAACTTTCAACAAACGTGTTTAAACGAATAAATACAAATTTTCTCTTGACTTGGGACTTGAGACTTAAGTCCAAAGACTTCATACTTGAAACTTGCAAAGCAATGACTTGTTCCCACCTTTTATATTAGGCCTCATTTTAGAGCATGCATTTGTGTTCTCTTCCATCCCGTAGTTTTCACTAGGGCCCCATGACCCGTTTTGATCCCAAAGCGCTACAGGAAGAACTCTTCACTAGCACTTCCTGGACAAGGTTGTCCAAACACAGGCAGCTGCTGCGGTCAGACCGGAGGTAAGACAAGTCCCTGGCAGAGAAAGTGCCTGCCCACTGAGGGGAAATTAACAGAGGAATGCATGGAGTTCTGGACAGACGCTCTGAGAGCTTAGCCAGATGAGGGCTCGTCTCCCAGCTTCACAGCCATGTCCTTTGTCCCACTCACAAAGCGTAGAATGACGGCTTTTCATATTCATATCAGTCCCTAAAGACCATTCTGGGGCTTTTCTGTACTTGTTTAGTTTTACAAAGAAAATAGAGCTGTCATTGGGATAGAATCGGACCACCTATTTAGGGTGTCCTACTCATAGGCTAATACAGGCTGGAAAAAAATCAGCTTTAGATATCCACAAAACACTCTTGAAATATATTGTCTCCATAACATGCTACTCCACTAGCAAGGAGAGCATTTCTATCAGTGTGATGACTTGGTTAGCATTTTAAGAGGCTTGGGCACAACTCCAGATCATTCCATCCCATTACATCCGCAATTTCTGGCTCATCCCAGGCAGACCCATGCTGTCA